TCGGAGACATAATATTACCAGGAGCTTTTCATTGTCTACTATCACAATGTGAATCTGTCCGATTGCAACCGGTGGAGTGGTGAAGACTCCGCCCCTGTCAGGCTGCAGTGAACACAGCCCAGTGTGCAGCACGTTGCAGTGCAGGGAGAGTTTTTCCTGCTGCTTCTGTCAGGTGTTTCCCATGTGGTCCGGGTCAAACAGGATGAGCCTGGAGCCTACGCTGTCACTGTGTGGTGCTCGGAGCTGCGGCCGACCTCAGACACTGTGGTCCACAGCTACACAGGCTCCGTAGTTCTTTCCGGGCCTCTCAGCAGGCCACGGCCTGCAGCTCTGCTGGAGCCCATGTGCACATTAAGACTGTGTGTGGTGGCCCCATGGTGGGAACAGCTACTCCAGCTCTGCCACTAATGTGTGACCTGTGTGTGTAGTGACAGCAGCGGCGTCTGTTTAAAGTGCCTGTCCCCCAGTTTGGAGGTCTTTGTCTGAGTCTCCTGCTCCACCTCAGAGCAGTGGAGGTGGACGGAGCTGAGTCTGTGCTGCCAACAGCGCTGATCATGACATGGAGACATTTACCAGCAGCACAGCTTTTCACAAACAGCCTCTTTACCATATAGGACTTGCAGCTACGCTCTGTCTGACTGATCCTGGTGACACAGAGCAGTGTGATGGTTCAGTGCTGTGAGCAGCACATGTCAACACCAAGTCAGACATGTCAGAGTGAATCAGAAGTTTCAGCTAGAATTTGACCTCAGTCACACGTCTGTAGCTTTATCAGCCAATTTTCCCTGAGCCCTGTAAACGTGAACATTCTGGATCAGTAGGTCTTGAACGTGACTCGGATCCAGATCAGACTTTGGTGTGTGGCAGTTTTTATGGGGATGTTATTGTGCAGCTTTTGTCCAGGACCTGAAGGCGCTGTGAATGGAGTCAGAAGCAAACAGACTGAAACTGGCCCTGTCTCACAGCAGGAAAGGATCCTTTAACCCTAATTACTAGATCAGGATGATGATCTGGATCAGCACCAGAATCCACGGACGGTTCAGTGGACTGTCCCCTATCTCTACAAAACATTTCAACCAAATCCTTCATTATTTTTTGAACAAGTCAACAGACGTGGCTAAAAACCCAGCCTCCACCTGGCAGAGGTCCCAAACCATTCTAACTACTTTTAGTGAAAACAGAGTTTAATACGCAACCAGACGTACGACAGCAGCTCAACAGTAACAGTCAGTGATCACCTGCAACTGCTGCTGTCCAAGCTCTATAGGCTGCAGTGACTCTTAAGTCAAGAACAAACAACAGGCCCACACACACAACCTTTACTTCCAGATGTCAGAGCAAAGACCCATGACCAGGTGAACAAAGCCAGCAGTGACCCAGGTGTTGCTGCAGCCAAGAGAGCAGCCGCTGCATCCGTGCTGACACCACAGCTGCTCGTCCTGCTGCCGTCTGCGGCTTTTAACTGAGTCTGAGTGTGAGGAAGAGACGCCCCGAGCAGCGCGAGCACACGTAAATTTTAAGACGGCACAGAAACAGCTTTAGGACGCTTCGCCTTCCTACTGAGGCCCAGAGCAGAGTCTTTACACTGCAGGGTTAAGGTACTGTTGCTAAGGTCACTGGGTGAAACACTCTACGACAACCAGGACCCATCTGGGGAGCCGCTGTGAAGGAAGAACAGTTTCTACAGTCACATGATCTGGAGACCAGCAGCAGGTGGATGTGTCTGTAGGTGTAAGGCCTGTGAAGAACCTCATCCATGTGATAAAGAGACACATCAGGTGTCAATGAGGTTTAGAGACCCAGCACAACATCTGACTGATGTTCTGTGGGGCCCCTGGTGTTTGCTGGAGAGTCCAAGACCTCCTGTAATTCAGCCACGAGTTAAGGTTTAGGCCTGAGGTCAGGGTCAGGGTCAGGCTCCGGGAAACAAACGTCCCCCAGTGTAGCGCGATGGAAACACAACTGAGAGAAACAGAAGTTCAATCTAGGAAATGTATCTTTCACTGTGAAGCTGCAGAAACCAGACATATCCCCTAGTACTGAGTAATAGTATCTACTGATACCTGTGTTTACCCCAACATTCATTAACCACTGTGAAAAAAAACAGGAAGCCAGACACCGCCGCCGACCACAAAGGCCCAAGAAGAAGAATCCCAACAGGCCACTGTCCAGCAGGAGAGTCACCAGTCGACTTCAGCTTCAGCCAACCTGCAGGCAAACAAGGAGAGACAGAGACCAGCGGCGAGAGGAGGAGTGGTGGAAAGTAATTACAAACATTTACTCCAGTACTGTACTTCAGTAGGATTCTGAAGCTTCTGTACTTTACTGGAGTATTTTCATTTTGTGCTACTTCATACTTTCACTTCACTACATTTTAGAGGCAAACATTTTTACTCCACTACATTTATTCAGTAACTTTAGTTACTAGTTACTTTTCATAACAAGATGAAAATACAGTATAATTATATGACCAGATCGATCCATGGTGGAAACTTCACAGGCTTCCCAGCAGTACTTCTAATTAAATACACAGACGCCAGTTAAAACTCGCCCCCCCTTTACCAACTGCAACATTAAATGTGATGTACACAGTACTGCATCAGTCGTTATACTACAGTAATATGATACACAGGAATGTGAAACGGGCCAGTCTGCATAATGAGTAGTGTTAGTACTTTAAGTCTTGATGCAAATACTGTTGTACTTTTCCTTAAGTTACATGTTGAATGAAGTACTTTTCCTTTTAACAGAGTATTCTTACACTGTGGTATTGCTACTTTGACTTAAGTAAAGGATGTGAGTACTTCCTCCACCCCTGAGGAGGAGGGGGGGGGAGAATGAGAGCGATGATCAAATGCAGATGGGAGTCACAAAGGAGGCTGAGATGACAGCCACGGTCATGACAACAGGAAACTCCCTGATCAGTAGCGGTCTGTAGAGTCCAGGTGGAACAGGTGTCAGCCGGGCGCAGACAGACCCACAGGACAGTCTAATCTATTAGATATTAACAGGAATAAATGGCTCAAAACAACTTCATTCTCTGATGGTGTGATGATGCTGCCAGCTACGTCCTGAGTCTGCAGGGTGTGAACGTACCATTAAAGGGCTGCAACAGATTGTGTGATCACTCTGCTGATGGGAGGCTGGGAAAGAAACATGTAGTTGTTGTATCTTAATGCTGTGATCATTTTCATTTCTGGCACTATGACATTATTGGGTGGGAGATACAGTATGTACAGATCTCCAATAATATCAACTACACCTCACTGTATGATCTAATCTGTAGCCTTTGATTCCCTCACTGTTGTTCAGTGTGTGGAGAAGTGTTTTGTCTTTCCATCATGTCATTCTCTGCTGAAGAAACTCTTAAGCCTTTTAAAAGTCCTACTCAGTACTCTTAACAGTTTTCACCTTAGGAGCTCTTTTAGAGGTTAAGATGCTTTGTGAATAACATCTGTCTTTACTAGGGTTTAGTCTTCATTTTAAGAGGAAATTTCTTAGAAGATGTCAGCAGACTGTGGCAGCAGGTTCAGTAAGGTCGTCCAGATGTCCCTCTCCTCAGTGATGTGTTCCAGCTCCTTTGGCAGGATTCAGAGGTATTCCCAGTCCAGATCAGCTATATAATCTCTCCAGCATGTTCTGGGTCTGCCCCTAGGTCTCCCACCAAGGTCAAAGTGTTTATTTGTCATATGCACAGTTAGGAAACATGTTTCCCTGTACAATGAAATTCTTACTTTGCAGTCCACATGAATGCCACAAAATGCAAATGAAATATAAAGTAGATAAATAAGTAACACAAAATCTAAGGCACTTTAAAGCAGCAAATGCAGCAGTATAATAAAAATATATAAGAATATAATAAGAGAAAGTATGCTGCATAGGATACCAGATGGACATGCCTGGAAAATCTCCAAAGGGAGGCGCCCTGGAGGCATCCTAATGCGATGCCTGAACCACCTCAGCTGGCTCCTTTTGATGTGAAGGAGCAGTGTTTTTACTCCGAGTCCCTTCCGGATGCCCAAGATCCACACCTTATCTCTAAGGGTAAGTCTGGCCACCCTATGAAATTCATTTCGCCCACTTGTATTTGCGTTCGTATTCTTTCGGTCACCACCAACAGCTCGTGACCACAGTTGAGGGCTCGAACATAGACTGACTGGTAAATAAAGAGCGTTACCTTTCAGCTCAGGTCCTTCTTCATCACAACAGTCTGGTACAACACCTGCATTATTGCTAACAAAGGTTAAAAGTACTAAAAAGGTATATACATTGTTGGAGTTTACTGATGCAAGGAGAAATGTTACAGTTCTTGCCTTTAAACAAGAGACTCAAACTTCTATCAGTGCTGTGGAACCAGATGAGGACTCTGCAATAACAGAAAGGCTGCCAGCCTCAGTGATTACCCATCTCCAGGCCCTTACACTACAGGTTCAGGTGGTAACGTTACTAGTGACTGTGAAAAGGCATGCAAGTCTCTCCTGATAATTGCAGTTGCTCAACATGAGGTTAGTCTATGCAGCCATCCTCCCTGAACAGCCTGGACCTCAGCAGCCAGCCCAAAGCCAATAACACCCCCGACCCTTAAGGAGTCCTACACAAGACTGAATTCTTCATCTTTGCATTGGCCTCCAGGTTGTTCTGCACATGCACAGAATATATAATTATTTTGAGCTTCTTTGTGCATAGATGATCATAAACTTCAAAAATATGATTTCCAGCTGTGAATTTTAAGCCTCAAGTTGCCAGATAATAAAATCCATTTTAGAGTAACTGTAATCTTTGCTCCTTTAAAATCCATACCTCAAAAAGAAGAGAATTCTCACAGACGTCCATGGTAATGTGTAAATGCTACTGATGTACATATGTGTGCGCAATCGTGACTGAAGTTGATATGAAACATTTAAATAGAAACTGAGAAGATGAACAATACTTGAGTTATAAATCCTTACAATGTTTCGGTATTTTCACAGCATAAATTCACTACAATCAAGAATCTTTGAAACACTGTTTATTGCCTTATTAGAAGAAACATTATATTAATAACACTAATGATGTGTTTCCATCAGAATACAAGTGCAAGAAATGGCAAAATGATCATATTTATGCCCATTCTGTCTCCAATTTAAAAACTAATTCTTAAAGTAATGCAATACCCAAATTTCTTTTTCCCAGACTTAGATTTTAATCTCGAATTGGTGGTGTTCAGTTCAATATGCTGATCCTGTCATACAAAGTGCCAAAACAAACTACATGGCAATAACTTTTCACAGGTACAAGAGAAGAAATGTTTGAGATCACGTGGATGTAAATTTCCTTTCCTGTACATTTCCTGACATTCTAGATGTGTCTAAGATCCGTACTAAACATGCACACCAGTTACTGCAAATGATTACTTAGAAGTTTTTCATAAATCAGGAAGATCACATCCATGGTTCCCAGCCCGCAAAGGTTCTGCCAAGCACATTTGGGTCCATGGCCTGGTCAAGCAGACAGTCCACCTGCCGCTCCACTGACAAACCGGCATCTGGAAGCCTAGCACGAACGTTGTGCTCCTTAGTCCCTCTAGCCACAGACTGCAACCCCGAGAAGGCATCCTTGTCCTTCTCAAAGCCCAGCTTCAGTTCCTCACTGAAAAAAATAAACATATAATTACACACAAACATCTGAAGACCTGTATGTGTGTATACACATACTTGTAAGAAAAAGTAACAGCACTGTTTGCAATTTCTTGGTTTTGTCTTAGTGCTGTATAAATTGGTCATGAAATGTGATCTGATGTTCACCAAAGTAACAAATATCAACAAACACTATTTCTAAGCTGAGAAAACACAAACAGTCCTGATCTTTCATGTTTTTATTGAACACACCCATTAAATGTACAAAGTGATGGTGGAAAAAGTCATGGCAAGCGTTTTAACCCAACAATACATAACTTGGCAGTTTGCCTCTCCCTACAGTTTCTGAGTGAAATTGAGTTGTAAATACTAGTTGTGCTTTCACCCCTCATCATGGACAGTGGTTCATGTGCATTTGTTTATACACTGAAGCTGTTTCTTGACCGGGAAAGAAAACTTCAGAAGCCAGAGAATGGTAAGGTAATATTACAGGATTTTATAGAAATATGACTCTGCAGAGTTTTATTTATTGTGACATCAAAGATGAACACTCAGAATAATGGTGGTTTTATTTTAGTTTTACTAAAATATTGCTTGTACTGTCAGACAGTTTGTTAATCATTTGAACATAGATGTGTGTAATGGGAAATGCTGTTGGTGACATGATATAGGCTCATACTGCACTCTGGGCACTGTAATTTATTACCAGCTAGCTGAGATGGGTTTGTTGGGGCTTAATTGGTGTGACAGTGACAAAAACTGACCAAACTCACCAGTGTGAGGAAAATTCATGTATTTATTTTGGGGGACTGAGGTAAATGACTTTTTCCATCTGTAAAGAAACACTACAAATATCTCAAACAGGTGATGATGTCGACAGGGTCACAGCCTACACGAAAGTATTTCATAAATAACATTAGCAGAGATGTGCACTCTGCTGTGGTGGTGTTTTGGTGCTAGCAGATCTCAGGACAGTAACAGTCAGTAACACTGATTGGGTCATTTTTAGCTCTCACAAGTGAGTAAAAGCCAGTCTGATATTTACTCTTGTCTGGTCTCTTGCTCTCTCTTTGTCTCTACCTCTTGGCTGTAGCTGGGCTCTGGTGATGCCTACTACCTACTGCTATATGTGTGTGTCCTGTTGCACAGCTTGTTCACAATCACAGTAGGTGATTAAATTAAGTTAGTAAGTCCAAACTTTAAGAGGATGGGAGGATGCAGTACTCTCAATGTTCAACTGGAACACCAGTGTCCTTGCTGACTCTGCTCTCAACAAGATGTAGCTGCCTGCTAAGGAGAGACAGCTTGGTCTGCTATCGGGTCCTCACAGCTTAGAAAACACCTGAGCAAATTTCTAACAGTGGAAACACAGCTATAATGTGCAGCTGGAACACTTTCATCCTCGCTGACAGACTACTGTGGTCTGAACAAGATGTAGCTGCCTGCTAATGGAGCTAGCTTGGTCAGATGATGATGATCTCAGAAAACTTGGAAAGACTGCACATACAGTGGTGTGAAAAAGTGTTTGCCCCCTTACTGATTTCTTATCTTTTTGCATGTTTGTCACACTGTAATGTTTCAGATCGTCAAACAAATTTATATATTAGTCAAAGATAACACAAGTAAACACATCATGCAGTTTTTAAATGAAGGTTTTTATTATTAAGGGAAAACAAAATCCAAAACTATAGAGCCCTGTGTGAACAAGTGTTTGCCCCCCTGTCAAAACACTGGTTTATCGCACCTGAGTTCAATTTCTCTTGCCACACCTGTTCGCAATCAAGAAATCACTTAAATAGGACCTGCCTGACAAAGTGAAGTAGACCAAAAGATCCTCAAAAGCTAGACATCATGCCGAGATCCAAAGAAATTCAAAAACAAATGAGAAAGAGAATAATGGAGCTCTATCAGTCCGGAAAAGGTTATAAAGCCATTTCTAAAGCTTTGGGACGGCAGCGAACCACAGTGAGAGCCATTATCCACAAATGGCGAAAACATGGAACAGTGGAGAACCTTCCCAGGAGTGGCCGGCCGACCAAAATTACCCCAAGAGCACAGCGACAACTCATCCAAGAGGTCACAAAAGACCCCACAACAACATCCAAAGAACTGCAGGCCTCACTTGCCTCAGTTAAGGTGAGTGTTCATGACTCCACCATAAGAAAGAGACTGGGCAAAAATGGTTTGCATGGCAGAGTTCCAAGACGAAAACCACTGCTGAGCAAAAAGAACATAAAGGCTCGTCTCAGTTTTGCCAGAAAACATCTTGATGATCCCCAAGACTTTTGGGATAATACTCTGTGGACAGACGAGACAAAAGTTGAACTTTTTGGAAGGTGTGTGTCCCATTATGTGTGGCGTAAAAGTAACACCGCATTTCAGAAAAAGAACATCATACCAACAGTAAAATATGGTGGTGGTAATGGGATGGTCTGGGGCTGTTTTGCTGCTTCAGGCCCTGGAAGACTTGCTGTGATAAATGGAACCATGAATTCTGCTGTGTACCAAAATATCCTGAAGGAGAATGTCCGGCCATCCGTTTGTGACCTCAAGCTGAAGCGAACTTGGGTTCTGCAGCAGGACAATGATCCAAAGCACACCAGCAAGTCCACTTCTGAATGGCTGAAGAAAAACAAAATGAAGACTTTGGAGTGGCCTAGTCAAAGTCCTGACCTGAATCCAATTGAGATGCTGTGGCATGACCTTAAAAAGGCAGTTCATGCCCGAAAACCCTCCAATGTGGCTGACTTACAACAATTCTGCAAAGATGAGTGGGCCAAAATTCCTCCACAGCGCTGTAAAAGACTCATGGCAAGTTATCGAAAACGCTTGATTGCAGTTGTTGCTGCTAAGGGTGGCCCAACCAGTTATTAGGTTTAGGGGGCAAACACTTATTCACACAGGGCTTTGTAGTTTTGGATTTTGTTTTCCCTTAATAATAAAAACCTTCATTTAAATCTAAGTGGTTATCTTCTTACCTGAAAAAATATGAAAACCCAATAAAGGCCCAGAGATTTGTCTCTGAGCTAACAGTGATCCAAAGTTGCCTAGTGCAGTAACAGATGATCCAGGAACGTGGCGGCAATAGCAGAGTTGCCATTCACATTATTAGTCAATCTGCCATCAAAATGATTTTGAGGCTGTTATTTTAATGTAAAAAATGTACATATTATTACTTTAATAACTGGTTGAACCACCTTTGGCAGCAATAACCACAAGCAAGCGCTTCCTGTAGCTGTGGATTAAACGACAACGTTCAGGAGGAATGTTGGACCATTCTTCCTCACAGGGCTGCTTCAGCTCAGCCATATTCTTAGGATGCCTGGTGTGAACAGCTTTCTTGACATCATTCCACAGCAGCTCTGTTCACTGTTGCTCCAGTCTGTCCCTTACAACAGCCCAGATGAAAGATGAGCTCAGGAAGATCGAAGCAAGGAAGGTGACAGGTCCAGATGGCATCAGCTCGAGGCTCCTTAAGTCCTACATGGTTCAGCTGTGTGGAATAGTTATGCATATGTTCAACAGGAGCCTGAAGCTGGGGAGAGGACCACAGCTGTGGAAAACATCCTGTGTGGTACTGGTGCCAAAGACACATCAGTCCAAGGACCTCAGCAGCCAGTGGCACTGACATGCCTGATGAAGACACTGGAGAGGCTGGTCCTTGTCTATCTCCACCCTCTGGTGAGCTCATCACCTGCTTCAGTCTACTGCTATAGCTCTGTGAATTTCCCCAGTGTGGGACTAGTAAAGGTTCAGCTTGTCTTAGTAACTTTGCATAGTTGGAAACATATAACAGTGTATTTAACTGAATCACTATTTTCACCATAATGGATGTCAATGATGCAAACTTTTACATCTCATTTAATTCCAAAAGAAAAGCCCTGAGTGTGATTTAACATGAAGTAAACCCAAATGACTGATCTGCTATATTATCATTCCATGATATACCTGGTTATAACAGCTGGATTAGCTCCTTCTAGTTTTCTTCTGGCAAAGTTCACCTTCTGTAATGGATACCAGTTGATTTCTTTGATGTTTACGTCCTTCGTCCACGTGCCTCCTTTCTTCAGCTGTTTCAGCTCAAAGTTCTGTGTACAAAAATACAAGAATAGAAAATTATACAAAGAGCTAGTACTAGAAATAAATGAGTGCTATAACAATAACAAAAGAATGATCTATGATGCTTGCCTCAGGGAACAGGTTCCAAAGGTGCTGTCACATGCTACTGTAGTGGTCAAAAACAAACAAGGTACCAGTCCAGAAGTAATATGTAATAGAATAGTGTGTAGTTCACATATAGATATTATTTGTAGTAGTCATGTAAGGGTGAGCTAACTGTTTATGTAAGCTTAATCTGTTTCTCTTCTCTTGCTCAAGCAAGAATATCTTGGCTTGTGTCCTTGTTTAATTTATGGGTAAACATCCAAAGAGAAGTCCTCCTTAAATGGGAAGCTTGAAGTTGGAGGACATAACTTCAGCCTTATGTGAACTGTTCGTGTGCTCTGTTCATGTTTAGAAAAAGGAAATGTGCGCTAGGTCAATGCAACCTAGAAGTTCATGTACTGGACATCTTAGACAATTCTCGGAAGAAGAGGTGTAGAGCTGGTGTGGGACTATGACTCTGGCTCAAGCAATAAGGAGGCTGTGTAACTGCGAGAAGATAAAGGTTAGGACGGCTGTGGGTTAGTGAAAGGAAGGAGTGATGGTACTGCAGTCGTGAGTGTGCTTCTGGACCTGACCGGGTGAAGACTCTGGACTCTGACTGACTGTACCTTGTGGCCACAATGACTGATGGGCTCTCACAATCTTCTTATTTAATAAAGTATCTATTCCATTGTAGGAGGAGTGATTTTGTTCTCTGTTCCCTATCCAGGTTGTTGGATTGTCTCATAAACCTATTGAACTGTTCAGAACCGGGATGATTTGCCTAAATTAATTTATTCCACATGAGCTGAGCCAAACTGAGCCAGCTCACTGTGCCTGTCCCCACCTGTCAGTGGATTACTAGCTTTCTGACAGACAGGAAACAGCAGGTGAGGCTGGGGAAAACCACATCCAGCACCCGGACAATCAGCACAGGCACCCCCCCCC